TTTACGAGGATAGTGAGGCTCAAGTTAGAGTATGTAGGAAAGAGGGAGATTATTTCCCAGTAAAAGTAGGCCTTAGACAAGGATGTGTGATGTCACCGTGATTGTTTAATATATTTATAGATGGGGTTGTAAGAGAAGTAAATGCAGGGTCTTGGCAAAAGGTGTGCAGTTTAAAAGATAAAGAATCACACATTAAGTGGGAGTTGTCACAGTTGCTCTTTGCTGATGACCTGTGCTCTTGGGAGATTCTGAAGAGAAGTTGCAAGGTTGGTGGATGAATTTGTTAGGTGTGGAAAAGAAGAAAATTAAAAGTGAATACAGGAAAGAGTAATGTTATGAGGATAACAAAAAGATTGGGTGATGAAAGATTGGATATCAGATTGGAGGGAGAGAGTATGGAGGAGGTGAATGTATTCAGATATTTGGGAGTGGACGTGTCAGTGGATGGGTCTATGAAAGATGAGGTGAATCACAGAATTGATGAGGGGAAAAGGGTGAGCGGTGCACTTAGGAGTCTTTGGAGACAAAGAACTTTGTCCTTGGAGGCAAAGAGGGGAATGTATGAGAGTATAGTTTTACCAACGCTCTTATATGGGTGTGAAGCATGGGTGATTAATGTTGCAGCGAGGAGAAGGCTGGAGGCAGTGGAGATGTCATGTCTGAGGGCAATGAGTGGTGTTAATATAATACAGAAAAATCGTAGTTTGGAAATTAGGAGAAGGTGCGGGATTACCAAAACTGTTGTCCAGAGGGCTGAGGAAGGGTTGCTGAGGTGGTTCGGACATGTAGAGAGAATTGGAGCGAAACAGAATAACTTCAAGAGTGTATCAGTCTGTAGTGGAAGGAAGGCGGGGTAGGGGTCGGCCTAGAAAAGGTTGGAGGGAGGGGGTAAAGGAGGTTTTGTGTGCGAGGGGCTTGGACTTCCAGCGGGCATGAGTGAGCGTGTTTGATAGGAGTGAATGGAGACAAATGGTTTTTAATACTTGACGTGCTGTTGGAGTGTGAGCAAAGTAACATTTATGAAGGGATTCAGGGAAACCGGCAGGCCGGACTTGAGTCCTGGAGATGGGAAGTACAGTGCCTGCACTCTGAAGGAGGGATGTTAATGTTGCAGTTTAAAAACTGTAGTGTAAAGCACCCTTCTGGCAAGACAGTGATGGAGTGAATATTGGGGAAAGTTTTTTCTTTTTCGGGCCACCCTGCCTTGGTGGGAATCTGCCAGTGTGTTAAAAAAAAAAAAGAGGTGTTCACTATGATTTTTTTATTAAGAGGTACCAAAATAAGTGTTCAGTGAAATAAGTGTTGGTGGTGGCTGATACAGCCAGGTTACACAAATTTTCATTATAAAATCAAGTAGCGTCAGAGATGTGGTGATGCCCAGGGCCAACTCTTTGATTACATGTCCCGAAGACTCCTTGATTGTATGCCCCAAAGACTCCTTGATAGTTTGCCCCAAAGACTCCTTGATTGTTTGCCCCAAATCATTATCTTATTTCCCTCTCTAATTGGATGCCCCCCCAATTTTGATTCCCAGGGGCATCGCCCCTTCTCCCCTCTCCCTTCTGCACGCCACTGATCAAATCATTCTATTAAAACCGTTGTGGCTGGACGGTTATATTGCTTGACCAAGAACATGTAATGAACAAGGTTCGAATCCAAGGTCTATTCTATATATTCATTGACAGTCGCTCATTATAACTTACCCTAGGTTTATGTATTCAATAATATGAGATGTACTCTGGAAGAGCTGGTTGTTGAGTGCTGACAGTGTTTGGCCTGGTCTGAATATGTGCGTTTGTGTGTGTTCGAGTGTTTAAATAGTTTTATGTATTCTCAGTAAAATGGTTATCGAGAAGAGATTAAGAGAGAGAGAGAGAGATTAAGATTTCGTTCGGATTTTTAACCCCGGAGGGTTAGCCACCCAGGATAACCCAAGAAAGTCAGTTCGTCATCGAGGACTGTCTAACTTATTTCCATTGGGGTCCTTAATCTTGTCCCCCAGGATGCGACCCACACCAGTCGACTAACACCCAGGTACCTATTTGCTGCTAGGTGAACAGGACAATAGGTGTAAGGAAACGTGTCGAAATGTTTCCACCCGCCGGGAATCGAACCCGGGCCCTCCGTGTGTGAAGCGGGAGCTTTAGCCACCAGGCCACCGGGCCACCTGAATAATGCCTGTCTCACCCTGCCAGGTTGTGCATCTTGCTGCTGGCAGCCAGGATACATCTAGAAACCTTCCCTTGGTGTTCCTACGCTCTCACCGTTGATGCAGCACCAGACATCTCAAGCAACGATGAAAACCAGCCATTGATGAGCAGTGTTGATGACTTTTACAAAGTGGGTCATCAGTATTGGAAGGGAGATTTCCCTAACAGGAACTTCCTAAGGTGAGCCAATGATTAATTAATATGCTTTTACTATTAGTCTAGTTAAAATAATATATGGAATTAACGGACAAATGAATCGTACCGAAGACGGCCCGGGGGGGGGGGGGTGGAGGCAATAAAAAAAAAGAATAGAACCAAATATTCATTGAGAGGACATGGAGAGGGGGAAGGGGAGATAGATCAATGTATTGGAAAGGAAATGAACAGGATAAGTTGAAGAAGAGTTCAGAGGATGTAGAGATGTGTGATTATTGATGGGTGCCTCTGCAGGGCTTAACATAGCCACTCCATGCATTGTTTGTCTATACCACATTTACATAGTAATTAGTTTCACGCATTTGCTACCTCGCACCCGCTGAATTTCTATGTAACATTCATTTAGTTTATTCTAATTTTAAGATGCCATCTTTGTCATCCGATTCCCTCTCATCACATGTCCTTACTGTTTATTCCTGGCGATCTTTTGAATATTATCATCTAAACTCATCTAGCATTTCTCTCTTTAATGATGTTAGATTAGGTTCCTTACATCTCTTATATAAACTCAGTTCTGGTACCAAAACTTTCATTACACTTTTTATATTCCCTAGTTTCCATATAGATTAAAGATTCTTTATATCAGTATGATACAATGTGTAAGGGTGAATGATATTTAGATGTGCTTGCAAAAAGCCCCTTAAGCCAGGTTTCAATAAGAATAATAAGGGAGAAGATTGTATTTAGGGAATCTAGGAGTGCAGGAGGTCATTACGGTTCTAATGCTGTATTTAAAAATCGTTATAGAAAAACACAATACCGTGACTGGAACAATACACGAATAACTCGCAGTGTGACGTTGTAAATGGCCCAAGTCGGACCAAAACGTCGTCGTAAACTCCTCTCCTCTGTATACCTGTAGTTTACCTGGGTTACTTGTGTAAAAATAATATTCCTGGCATTACTGACGACTGAAGTGGCTTGTGTTAAATGCTGGTTGGGATTTCCATTATTTTAGGTCGATGTCAGCATTCAGTATTTAAGTTAACATTGGCAAGGCGCGATTATAGACGATTAACTAGTAAATATTGTTAAATTATAATAATCTGTAAATGGATTATAAGTGGAAATAGTAATATTTTCTGATAAAAGAATGTTTGAAAAAGTATTAGTCAATGAATAGTGTTCAAGTGTGCAGTAGTAAATATATTAAGCTGTAATACTAATTAAGTATAATACACTATTACGATAAGATAAAATGATTTGCAGTAAATATTTAAAGAAATACGGTAAAAATATAATGCGTATGGTTCTTTACTAAACAATTTAAAATTGTAGAAGCTTAGTGGATGTAAATTTGTTAATAAAAGACAGTAAAAAAAATGTTTAACTTTCTTAAGTAAACAAAATAGTGAACTTCTAGTGACTAATAAGCAATAAAAACTGAGGTAAGATAAGATTTCGTTCGGATTTTTAACCCGGTGGGTTAGCCACCCAGGATAACCCAAGAAAGTCAGTGCGTCATCGAGGACTGTCTAACTTATTTCCATTGTGGTACTTAATCTTGTCCCCCAGGATGCCACCCACACCAGTCGACTAACACCCAGGTACCTATTTGCTGCTAGGTGAACAGGACAACAGGTGTAAGGAAACGTGTCGAAATGTTTCCACCCGCCGGGAATCGAACCCGGGCCCTCCGTGTGTGAAGCGGGAGCTCTAACTACCAGGCCACCGGGCCTGAAATATTTAAATAGCAACAGTTGACACAAAAGACCAATAAGAAATATTAGAATTTTAGAGACTATATGGGTTTTGAACTACCGTATAACACAATGAAATTACAGTTACAAATTGAGGTTTGGTAACACTGTTCGTGGATATAAGTGGGCATAAACTGTATCTTTTCTGATTCAGAAAGGACACCATCACTTAATTCTTCATAATTTATGAAGTGCCTCTTTCCTCAGGATTCTTTTCTGTGATTTTCCATCCCTCGCAAAGCACTGGTGGATTATTTTTATTGTGGCTCAGTTTTCTTAGTCTATAGAGAAGAATTTGTCTCACTTTGGTAAAGTGCTCATTGATATACACACTGTTTTTCGTAGTTATAGATGATTGTAACAGGTCATATCTTTTTCAGCTAGAGCGGAATTTTAACAGCACAGTTTCCCAGGTTGTTTACCAATCGGTTTACACTCTCATCACTAGATATGTTGACTAAGGTGTTTGATCAGTTGAAAGTTTGTCTGCATACATGTGTCTTGGGTTATGGATGCTGGGAGGTGTTGGCTGTTAACTACAACAGCAACGAAGAGCTGCTGCTAGTATGATCTTGATAGTTATTAATGACATCAGCAAGTTGCAAGTTCACGCGTGATTTATTTTCTTTGATGTTAGTGTTAGGTTAGGTCACCAGTTCTCTGAGGAAGGAAATGGTGTCCTGAGTCTCAGCGTGTTTGTGCTCCAGGTTAGTGATCTTGTCTAGGCAGTGAGCACTGGAGGTTTTTAGCTCTTGCATTTCCCGGGAGATAATACAAATTTTTTCCACCTTGTATCCGGATGATTTTGGCTACCTTTGGGTCGTTTATCTTCATATTAACAAATCCAGGGAAAGAGTTGCCTTCGTTGTTCGGGATGGCGGCCATGTTTGTTGATTTTAGAGGAGTGATGTGCGGGTAGTGAGAGGTGACGGATGCTACCTTCTGGCGAGGAATAGGAGACACTTTACCTGTGGCAATATTCCCCCTCACCTGCATTGCTCTGAGTCCTGGGTTGGTTACTGGATCTTCCTTTGTTGTCCTGAACCCTGGCCATCAGCAGTAGCTTCAGATGATTTGTATATGGGTAGTGGGCGAATGTTGGGAAATTTTACTTCATCTGGCAGGGAGGTTGGTAATATTGCGTAGAGACGATGTAAATAATTTCGCCTGTTTGCGAATTGTTAAGCATTTCAAATCTCTTTCGTTGTGCACTGCATGTGGCAGGATTTGATGAAATAACTTTGAAAACAAGCCTGGTGCCCCGGGGAATGGGGTAACATCATCTAGCTATGGCTAGGTGCCCATACTTATCTGGGGGTCTGGCTCCGTGGAAAAGTACTGTGGACAGATACAGAGTTTGCAGGTTCAGAGTCCTGCTGTTGACGTAGAGACAACGTTTGTACACACACACACATATATATATAATATATATATATATATATAATATATATATATATATATATATATATATATATATATAATATATATATATATGTTAATGTTGCAGTTTAAAAACTGTAGTTAATGTTGCAGTTTAAAAACTGTAGTGTAAAGCACCCTTCTGGCAAGACAGTGATGGAGTGAATGATGGTGAAAGTTTTTCTTTTTCGGGCCACCCTGCCTTGGTGGGAATCGGCCGGTGTGATAATAAAATAAAATAAATATATATATATATATATATATATATATATATAACGCAATTAAAATAATATTTTTCATTTTATCAGATTCGGGCGCAGCAAGTATGGCGACTACGGCACTAATGGCAACGAGGAACTCACTGACCTGTTTCAGAAGCGAGGTCGCAACTTCCTACGTTTCGGTCGTGATCCTTCACGCAATTTCCTGAGGTTCGGTCGCTCCGTCGACTGTCAGCAGAGTTCTCTGTTACATGATGGCTGCGATGTGAAATCCAAGTCCCTGGAAACTTCTGAGCTCTCAACCACACCAGTGCAGCAAAACATATCCCACAACATTAATTCCTCAGAATCAGGGAAGATAACTTCTCAACGCTGGAAGAGAGCTGTTCCAGGTGCATATGTATCACTGCCTTATTACAGCCCCTCCGCCTGGGCCAGAGATATCCGTCCAGAAGATGAAATTATTAACGAATTCTCTTCTGAGGATACAAAGGACGTAAACAAACGTGGGTATAACCGAGGCTTTTTGCGCTTCGGCCGCAACCGCAACTTTCTGAGATTTGGTAAACGTGATGAAACTATCGTATACCCAGATTCCTTCTCCTCCTCTGAAACCAGCGAGTCAGTGCTTAATGTTAGACCTAAGAGAGCGCCCACCAGAAATTTTATTAGGTTCGGTTGAACTTGAAGATAACAAACTTTATTGTAATCTATGACAGTTAATTACTGGTATGTGACGTTGTCAACCCATTATTATACATAGCTATTTCTTGAAAAAACTGACACGTGTTTGGATAATTATTTTCATTGTCCTCAAAATCATATGCATGTACAGTAAATAAATATTAGTATGTGATTCTTCTAATGGTAACCTATATAAAGTGCCAATGATATTGTTAAACTAAGGAGTCATATAGCAAGACTTTCAGTCTTATATATAATGATTTTTTCATATAGTTCATGTTTATGTGGTTTATACAAAAAGAGGAAAATATTTTTTATTAATGGAACAGGAATGACAATGTTACAGTTCTTCTTTTAGATTTATTAAGGTATATAACAAATCTTAATTCATTTTATGCTCATTTATGAGCACAGACAAAACATATTTTGAGTTACTATTCTGAATACTGAAATAATTATTCTGTTATAAATTTTCTTTTCCAAATCATAAAACTGATGAACAATAAAACTTTTGAGTGTAATAAAATAACATTAATTTCCAACAATAATTTCAATAATTTATAAACCCTTATAATCCAAAATTGTCATAAACCAAGCACACAGTTACTTAACATCCATATTGCAAGCTTCTTGTTATTTATGTCAATTATATTAGGTGTGAAATTCTAGTAAATTTATCATCGACACCAAGCCCAGCCCTTCTAGGGTAGGGTAGGTGCCTGAGCCACCGTGCCCAGCCCTTCTAGGGTAGGGTAGGTGCCTGAGCCAACACGTCCAGCGCTTCTAGGGTAGGGTAGGTGCCAGAGCCACCATGCCCAGCCCTTCTTGGGTAGGGTAGGTGACTGAGCCACCATGCCCAGCCCTTCTTGGGTAGGGTAGGTGCCTCAGCCACCATGCCCAGCCCTTCTAGGGTAAGGTAGGTGCCTGAGCCACCATGCCCAGCCCTTCTAGGGTAGGGTAGGTGCCTGAGCCACCATGTCCAGCACTTCTAGAGTAGGGTAGATGCCTGAGCCACCATGCCCAGCCCTTCTTGGGTAGGGTAGGTACCTGAGCCACCATGCCCAGCCCTTCTAGGGTAAGGTAGGTGCCTGAGCCACCATGTCCAGCCCTTCTAGGGCAGGGTAGATGCCTGAGCCACCATGCCCAGCCCTTCTAGGGTAGGGTAGGTGCCTGAGCCACCATGCCCAGCCCTTCTAGGGTAGGGTAGGTGCCTGAGCCACCATGCCCAGCCTTTCTAGGGTAGGGTAGGTGCCTGAAGCACCATGTCCAGCCCTTCAAGGGTAGGGTAGGTGCCTGAGCCACCATGTCCAGCCCTTCTAGGGAAGGGTAGATGCCTGAGCCACCATGCCCAGACCTTCTAGGGTAGGGTAGGTGCCTGAGCCATTATGGCCAGCCATTCTAGGGTAGGGTAGGTGCCTGAGCCACCATGTCCAGCACTTCTAGGGTAGGGTAGGTGCCTGAGCCACCATGCCCAGCCCTTCTAGGGTAAGGTAGATGCCTGAGCCACCATGTCCAGGCCTTCTAGGGCAGGGTAGGTGCCTGAGCCACCATTTCCAGCCCTTCTAGGGTAGGGTAGGTGAATGAGCCACCATGCCCAGCCCTTCTAGGGTAGGGAAGGTGCCTGAGCCACTATGCCCAGCCCTTCTAGGGTAGAGTAGGTGCCAGAGCCACAATTCCCAGCCCTTCAAGGGAAGGGTAGGTGCCTGAGCCACCATGGACAGCCCTTCTAGGGTAGGGTAGGTGCCTGAGCCACCATGTCCAGTGCTTCTAAAGTAGGGTAGGTGCCTGAGCCACCATGCCCAGCCCTTCTAGGGTAAGGTAGGTGCATGAGCCACTATGCCCAGCCCTTCTAGGGTAGGGTAGGTGCCTGAGCCACCATGCCCAGCCCATCTAGGGTAGGGTAGGTGCCTGTGCTACCATGCCCAGCAATTCTAGGGTAGGGTAGGTGCCTGAGCCACCATGTCCAGCCCTTCTAGGATAGGGTAGGTGCCTGAGCCACCATGTTCAGCCCTTAAAGGGTAGAGTAGGTGCCTGAGCCACCATGCCCAGACCTTCTAGGGTAGGGTAGGTGCCTGAGCCACCATGCCCAGCCCTTCTAGGGTAGGATAGGTACCTGAGCCACCATGCCCAGCCCATCTAGGGTACGGTAGGTGCCTGAGCCACCATGTCCAGCCCTTCTAGGGAAGGGTAGGTGCCTGAGCCACAATGGCCCAACCATTCCAGGGTAGGGTAGGGTAGGTGCATGAGCCACCATGCCCAGCCTTTCTAGGGTAGGGTAGGTGCCTGAGCTACCATGCCCAGCCCTTCTAGGGTAGGGAAGGTGTTACAAAAAACGCGATTCTAAAAGCTTAGAGATCTCCAGTGAATACTAGAAAGGACTGCCCTTCTAGCATCCAGCCTGTTACTGGGTTTTCGTAACAAGTAGCCAGTATCCTTCTCCAATTATCCATTAAAATTCAGTATGGTTCAATAGCTTTTTAGGATTACAACTGGTAGGCTACTAACTAGAGAAATTAAAATTTAATAAATTTATTAAGCAGTAAGTTGTCTAGAGGTATATTATCAAATTAAATTAATTCACAGCAATCAAAATAAAATCAATCTCTCGAGTTCAATATTATTGTGCTGAAAGCACATATCACATTTATAATTCTTAAGTACCGTCAGGTACATTAACATTTAATAAGATATTACAAATATGTACAAGTGTGTGTATGCGTGTAAATGCTCTTAAGTAGTTAGCTATGTCTCAAGACTCGAATAAGACTTAAACAAGTGACTGACAAAGTCCTCAAATAAACTAACTTCTTGACCGACTGGCAACCCGAACAGTCTGCTTGAACAACAAAGAATGCTAAGCCCAATAGCAATGCAATATCAAGCGACTGCGACACAGAATCAGGAACTGGGGAATAATATAACGACACTAAGTAGGGACCATCAGCAGATCCTCCACAAAAGTTACAAAACTCCCATAATACTGAATCTATGTTCAGCATAGGAAAACTGTGACTGTGACAATACACAGGAACCAGTACAAAATTAGGTCAGAAGCTATAGCTCGGGACCTGAGATGTTCAGAGTGTCAATGTGACACACAACCTCAGTACAACGTCGAAAATCACTAAGTCTATACAATGTTCTGTGAACAAAGTTCTACAGAACTAACAAGAATAATGAGACAGACAATCTGTCCAACCGTCAAGCGAGTCTCCAGCAGACTGAATACATCACGAGAGGTGAGGACACCCCCCCTCGATCACGTGATAGCTACGTAGACAACTGCAGCTCAGAAGCCGGCAGTATAACGAGCGACAAGCGATAATTACAGTAGTTTGACAATCAAGACTAACTGAGCACATTTTATATACATCCTAACAACATAAGCTAAGTCAAATAACAATATAAGGCAATACATTTGCGATTTAGCTATTATCGCAAATATAAGCAATATAAAATTAAATGAAAAGGTAATATACATTACACATATACATAATAATCATTGTAACCCATTCATGGGTTGCAACAGAAGGTGCCTGACCCGCCATGCAAAACCCTTCTAGGGTATGGTAGGTGCCTGAGCTACCATGTCCAGCCCTTCTAAAATATAGTAGGTGCCTGAGCCACCATGTCCAGCCCATCTAGGGTAGGGTAGGTGCCTGAGCCACCATTTTTTTTTTCCCCCCCCCCCCCCCATTTTTTTTTTGGGGGGGGGGGAAAACCCCCCCCCCCCCCCTTTTTTGGGGGGGCCCCCCCCCTTTTTTTTTTGGGGGGCCCCTTTTTTTGGGGGGGGGGGGGCCCCCCCCCCTTTCCCTTTTTGGGGGAACCCCTTTAAAAAAAACCCCCCCCCCTTTGGGGGGGTTTTTTTGGGGAAAAAAGCCCCCCCCTTTTTTGGGGGGGGCCCCCCCCCCCCCGGGGGTTTTTTGGGGGGGGCCCCTTTTTTTTTTTTCCCCCCCCCCCCCCCCGGGGGGGGTTAAAAAAAAAGGGGGGGGGGGGGGGGTTTTTTTCCCCCTTTTTTTAAACCCAAGGGGGGGGGGGGGGCCCCCCTTTAAAAGGGGCCCCCCCCCCTTTTCCAAAAAAAAGGGGGGGGGGGCCCCCCAAAAAAAATTTTTTTTTTGGGGGGGGGGCCCCCCCCTTTTTTTTGGTAGGGTGGGTTTCCTTCCCCCCAAATTTCCCCTTTTGGGGGGGGGGGGGGGGCCCCCCCCCCCCCCTTTTTTGGGGTTGGGGGGCCAAAATTTTTGGGGGTTGGGGGGGGCCCCCCCCCGGGGGGGTCCGGGGAACCTCCCCCGGGGGTTGGGTGGGGAGGGGCCCCCCCCAACCCCCTTTTTGGGGGGGGTTTGGGGAAAAACCCCAAAACCCCCGGGGGGGGGGGGGGCCCCCCCCCGCCCCCCCGGGGTAGGTTTACCCCCCCCCTTTTTTAAGGGGGGGGCCCCCAAAAAACCCCCCTTTTAGGGAAAAAACCCCCCCCAAATTTTGGGGGGGTTTTTGGGGGGGAAACCCCCATTTTTTGGGTTTTTAAGGGTAGGTGAATGACCCCCCCCCTTTTGGGGGGGGCCCCCAAAAACCCCCCCCTTTAGGGGGGTTTGGGGGGCCCCCCCCCCTTTTTGGGGGGGGCCCAAAAACCCCTTTTGGGGGGGGTTGGGGGGGGCCCCTTTCCAAAAGGGGGGGGGGGGGCCCCCGGCCCCGGGAGGGGGGGAAAATTTTTTTTGGGGGGGGTTGGGGTTTTCCCCCCCCCCCCGGGGGTTTGGGTTTTTCCCCCGGGCCCCCTTCCAAGGGGGGGGGTTTTCCCCCCCCCCCCCTTTTGGGGGGGGCCCCCCAACCCCAAAAAAATTTTGGTTGGGGGGAAAACCCCCGCCCCCCGGGGGTGGGGGGGCCCCCCCCCCCCGGGGGGGGGGGGCCCCCCCCCCCCGGGGGGGTTTTTTCCCCCCCCCCCCCCGGGGGGGGGGGCCCCAAGCCCCCCCTTTTTGGGGGGTTTCCCCCCCCCCCCTTTGGGGGGGG